GGCGTATCTGTTGAGATGAAATAAACTTTGGGCTGAGTAAGCAAGGTAAACTTATAATCTAGATTCTAACAGATCGTAACTTCTTTGCTTTGATTATTATGATTGAGAATACAGTTGATTTAGATCTTATCACGATAATCATGAAAAACAGTTCGATAATATTCGGCTCTGTTGATCATTCTTTGACTTGAAAAAAGTAGCAAAGTAAATAATATTTTAAAGCAGCTTATCACTTTAGTATTGAAGGACAAAAAATATCAAATTATCTTGTTATTACGGAATATTATCAAAAATTTTCTTGTTTTGTCATTTTTTCATCAAAACATTTCCTTTACAATTCATTATCGAAGGTAAATCTATTCAACTATTTTTCCAGGTTAATGTCTTGATTTGCTTATTTTCCTGTAACAATAAAAACAAGATTGTTATTGAAAATTGAAGACTAGACAAAGTCTGATAAAAATATAACATAACAGTTGAATAAAAGTTGTTCAATTGCAACTGTCATCAACAAAGTTTATCATTTTCTAGACTAAAATATTAACAATAATATTTAACAATTTACACCAACAACAAATTTCTGTGTAATTCATTCCCTGTTTAAATCGAGGTTAGATAATTGATATTCTGAGCATTAGATTCATCTGCCATTATTTTGGTCTTAATTGTTGGTGGAGCAAAAAAAAGAAACCAGAAAGAATTACATTCGCAACAGTGAAAATTTATTGAATTTGTTCACCAGCGAATAATCATGATCAAAGTGAGAATCATAAAGATCCCATTGAGACTACAATAGCACAAAACAAAAGGTTAAAAATGAAGAGACTAAAAAAATCAACTTGTAATTACATTTATATTCAACAAAATGATCAAATTTCCACTCCCAGAGTGAAAACTTGATAACAAGAGATGCTTTTTGTTTGGGTTAAATTTGAAACAAAAAGTACAAGCTATTCCAGTTGAAATGTTTGACTTTGAAAGGAACACAAAAAAGTTTCAAAATTGAATAACATTCGGTTTAGCATTTGGTTTCATGATAAAAGGCAAGATGAAAAAATCCGGAAACTGAAATGGTAAAAACTAATTGAGATGTTTCTTGAAAACTCATATCAACTGCTGAATGCATTTTTCTCGAAAAAAATTCTTCTCATGAATAAACTCGTCAAAATTGTTATTAAATTCTTGTAGCACGTTCAAGGCAAAAGTTGCACGGAATTTGAATTTTTTATTAAAAAAACGATTGGTCAGTATTCATATTGGGAAACATGAAACTTTTCAATTGATGAAATGTTGATGAGAGTAAAAAAGAAATGAAAAAGTTGATCAAGTCTTAATGTTATTGAAATTATCGATTACATTGATAACAGTTGTAAGTCCATATTTTTGTTCCTCTTTTCTTCTTTTTCTTTCAATTTTTCTCTCTTTTTTTCTCTTCTTATGTGATTCTTTCATCATGGTGATACACATGGTTGTTTGATGAGGGAAATGAGAAACTTGGGAACAAGAAGAAGAACAAGTTCAATACAAGTTTGATGTAAGCTCATGACATTTTGTTCAATTACAAGGTTGAACAAGAGGCTATCAACTTGGCTGTGTTGTATCATTTAATGTCAACGATTCAATAAAAATTGAAATTTTTCAGTGAAACTGAAGACTGAAAATGATAACAACAATGGAAGCAAAATAAGTATTAAAAATAGTGATCGCTATTTTCATTTTATATTTCATTTCAAGTTGAGTCGAGTTTCAAGTTTAAAAGTTTATCAACAATTTGCTCAACATTTTATTCAATTTCATCAACTTTTCAACACAATTTTTATTCTCGTTTCATTTTTGCCCAAAGTTGAAGACAAAAGATGAAGACAGATAATTAATCTTGACTATTAATCTGATCATTTCTTTGCATAAAGTCGATGGACATTGAGATTGGAAACAAGAACAAGTCTTTGTTGGTCAAAGAAATGAGATCTAATTTTGGGTAAATTAAGTTTGGTCGAGTTGGAATGGAATCAAATAAAGACTTTTTTTGCTGACAAATGTTGGAGGACTTTTGAATTTAATTTCAGAACGAAATTCGATATTAATTGTTCTTGAATGTCTTTTCTGTCTAATTGTTCTGATTTTGTTTGAGTCTTTTGTTTTCACTTGCTAAATGGGTAAAAACATTTGAAATATTTGATGCTTTTGTTTGGGAATACAATTTTACTTCATTTGTTTGCTGTTTTTGATTTTCACTGAAACAAGTTTCCTGGTTGGAGTTACAATTAAAAAGGTAGGCTCATTAAAATACAACGTCTTGGGTGAGAATAAATTTCAACCCTTATCAGGTTAATGACGTGTCTTGAGATTCTGATTAAATTAATATGCTCATGTTAATCTAATTCATGAGTTAGCAGTAACTTTTTTTCCTTGCTAATTTATTAAATAATCAAAATCTTGTTACACTTGCTGTCAGAAAATAGCAGTCAAATCATTGTTTCTCATTAATTAAAAATCGATTTGCAAAATTGATTGCTTTACAAGAAAACAAATTGAAATTAAAACTAAAAACACTCAACTCCAGACTCAAGTCATGAACAAGACTTGATCAGAGCTTTAGACCCATGAAGTCTGAATGTTAATTTTTGTTAAAAACTCGACTCTGATGAGGAAATATGGATTTGTAAAAATGTGAACTGATTGAGACATTCATTTGTCGGCGAATTTTTCATGAAAATTGAAAAATATTAATATTTGAATGGTTCGTTGAGAAGTAGAGCTTTCCGATTGCTTTGATTAGTTGGAATTGATTTCTGTTTCTTTGACTTTTCATTTTTATTCTGAAAATATTTGGTTCTTAACAGAAATGAAATGGATTCACTTTTCACAGCAATTTTAAACGCTTGTTTTCCATGTTGATGAATTTTCCTATCAATAGTGAAAAAATGAGGAAATGTTGTGTAATTATCATTGGAACCATTTTCTGAGTTGGAATCGTTTAGATGCTGGAATCGCATTAATTTTTCAAGTTGTCTGTACAATGAAAGGAGGACAAAAAATCGACTCATTTTGCATGTTGGATGTCTGAAATGATTGGACAGATTCATGATAAACTATTGATTAGAAAGTGTAAGTATAATGAAATTGAACGCTTCTCGTGTCATGCATTCATTATCAGCATCTCAAGATCTTCAGGTTAACCAATATTGAAATGAATATTTCATTGACTATTTAGAATAGCGTTGAAATTGAAATTTCACATTTTTTCCCTGTTCTTCTTCCCTTCAATACTTTGCTTTACATTGACATTTATTTAAACTGATTAAGTTTGATAGATTTACTTGTGTCAAGTGATTCATTAAAATAAACATTAAAAGTGCAATACATTTGGTTTGATCAATTAATCTTGAAATGATTTGTTAACTTGCTTTCAACTATTACAATGTGAATAAAGGCGCATTAATCATTAATCTTTCCTTTAATCAGTCACTCACTATTTATCACTTGGGTTAGTAAATACAGCTTGTTTGCCGGCTTATAGCCATTGATTAATCTTCCTTTTATTAGTTGCTGGTTTGCGCACAATTGATTGATTGCCATTATTTGCAACTGTAAACTACGGAATAATGGAAAAAGTAAAATTAAATTGTATCCAGAATAATTTAAATCACTTTTAAATCTAATAACATTGCAATAATACTTTAACACTTTAATGGCTCTACTCTTTTATTTTGGGCTTTAAAGGTTCACTTGTGTTTCTTTTGTTTGATTGCTTCTTGGTGTTAATTTCCTGTTGATTGTTCAATTAATCATTTACCAATTGTTTGGTGTTTAGTTAATTTGCTTATTATTGGGTCAAAAGTTGATAATGATTTAAATGGTGAAAGTGAATGAGATTTTAAAATGTAAAGTAAAAGACAATTTTGACATTGATCATGAAATTGTCATTACAATGGAAATCATTGATTGATTGGATGACGATTGATTAATTGGCTTTTAATCAAACGGAATACACTAAATGCGGATAGTTTTTTTTGATTAATAATGTAAAGTCAGGAAAATTAAGCAAATGAATCAAAAGTGAAACTTGTCATTAAGTAACATATTAGAATGGCTTTTTTCGCTTCTATTAATTGACTTAACAAAATCAATATATCAGTATGTGTTGCCTGCTTTTCCAAGTATATTTATATTAAACATGCTGAGAGAAAGATGATGATGATGATGATGATGATAAGCTGGGTGAGGAGGATGCAGATGGTGATGGTGATGATGGAGGAAGAGAGTTGACTTGTTGGACAAAGGATATTTATAAAGCGAAGCCAATAAGGAAACCTTTTACATCACCTCGTTTGGTACTTGAAACCCTCAATTCATGGTTATTATTGAAAACAATCTTCTTCTTCTTTTTTCCTCGTCATTTAAATTACAAATTATGATAAATCATTAGCTGATCAACTGATGATATACATTTTGGTTGAAATAATTATACAGTTTGATTTGATTCCAGCAAGTCTCGGTTTTACATATGTTTTGGGTTTTCAACTTGAAGCATATGGAAAGGTGAATCTTTTTTTGGTTTAATCAAGAAATCTTTAATAAAACATTCAGTTGAGGTTATTTTTAAAATGATTTCACCTTATAAGGTTTGATTGTAGCAACTGTTGACATTTAATCAGATTTAAGGTGATTTTGATTGGCTTTTAACCATTTATTCAACTTAAGTGTCATTTTGGGTTAAGCTTGTTTTTTGCTCTCAAGTCGGTTATACAATGACAATTGGTTAAATTGTTGTTAAACCAAAATTTGACAATCAATTTTTGATTGGCAATTGTTTTAATGATGCTAATTCTAGCTTCAGTTTAATTTTTTTGTGTACTTGAGTTGATCAATTTTGGATTAAAAGATGTGGACAGATTTCAACTCTAGCTTTTCCTAATGCTTTCATAGGATAATGAAAGCCAATTGATTACGGTTAATCTAGATTAGGATTTGGTGAAGAAAAGACTCGAGACAGTGAATTGCGTTTTGGGTAAACTTTTATTGATATTTAATAATCATCCTTTGGCTCCTTTGGCTCTATCTCAAAAGAGATGAGAAAGATAGTCATTTTCAATCTTGAATGCAAGGCAGTGGTCTAAGGGCAATAATGTCGGGTGTTGATGTTAACAATGCATGGTTGAGAAACATGAGACGATTAAAATTATTCAAAATGGTATCAGGTATGATTTCAATGTAAAATGAAAAAAAGTTATGATTATAAAATGAACGTGTAAGGAATTTTCATGAAATAATGAGCGTTATCTTAACATAATCACAGTTCCTCCTAAGTTTATGATGATGATGAAAATAGTCGTGTTTATGGAGGTTTTTAAGAATAATTTAAAGTTCATAATTAAAATTTTGCAACTATCGCAAATGAATTTCTGAATTCAATCATTTAACGAATGCTGCTTCTCAATGGATTGTTAACAAGTATATCCTTATAAGCCTTAAGTTCTGCCTTCTTCTTCTTTTCATTGTCGACCTGGAAGCATTCCCAGAACCTTAAAGTCTCGTCGGCACTTAAAGAGACAACCGTTGAGCCATCAGGGCTCATGGAAAGTCCTAATATCCTTTGAGTGTGACCTCTGAGTTCAGTAATTTTAGAGACTCCTGGATATTTCCATACTATTAACTCATTCTTTGAATAACCATGGGCAGAAATAAGTTCTTGATACTCTTTAGACCAAAGTATAGCACAGACCTGAAAATAAAGAAGATCATTATTTGAATATAGTTCTAGAATTGAATTTAACGAAACTGACTCAAAAAATTTAAAGTAAATAAAATAAGTAGATTATAACATACCTGAGATTTAGCATCTACAGAATAAAGGCATGAGCCGTTGTTGACATTCCAAATCTTAATGTGTCGATCAGCAGTACCACCTCCTGTAGCCAAAAGATTGGGTTTCCATGGACTCCAAGCAAGTGCCTAATAAAAATGTTAAGCAAATTGATTATAAATAAAAAGTAACCAAAAATTTTGAAATAATAACTTACCTTGACAGCAGCTGTGTGAGAGTTGAAAGTGTAAAGTGGTCGATCATTTCCAGGATCTTTGCTCCATATGTTAACTACATTGTCATTGCCTCCAGAAGCTAAATAATTGCCTCCAGATGACCACTTGAGCCCGCAAACCTCTTGTTCATGTCCATTCAAAGTTCCGATATGATGTTGAGCGACTCGCACGTCATGATGAAAGATTTGACCATTGCGTGATCCACTGCTCAGCACATGACTATTCCATGCCAAGGTAGATACACGGGCCGTGTGTCCTTGCATTATTCTAAGTCTTTTCTGTTGTTCGGCGTCCCACAACTGAACTTCACGGTTACTTGTACCAACGGCAAGATTATTAAATCCATCAAACCATGCCACAGATGAGATGTATTCACCTTCAGGTAAGCCAACAAGTTTAGTAATTGAACCATTTGATGCGTTCCATAAGTAAAGATCTTTGTCAAGGGCGACAGCCAGTAAATTGTTACTGTTCCAGTCCAATAATTGAAGATAGTAATCGTTTTTAATATCAGGAGCATCTAAAATTCGCTCGGGTTGAGATGGTATATGTCTGTTAGATTTTTTACAAGAATTTGATATTTTACTAGAGCTATAAAGAACTTTAAGACTGTTAGCATGGCCTTCTGGAGCTAATGGAGCCTTGTCATTGAAACATAATATGCGATGGTTATTTAAATCACAATTGAGCGCCTCGCTAATTGCTTGTTGTTTAGTTGATTGATTAATTGTAGTGTCTTTTACGGGTTCACCATCATTTTCTTTGGTTGTTTTGTCCCCCTGAGTTAACTGAAAATTAAATAAAGAAATTATTAAAAAAGATGAACAGATGAACAGAAATCGATCATCGAATAGTTAATTTTTTTGGAGGGCAAAAGGTTAGAGGTAACAAAAAAGTTTTTCAAACTACTTACCAAATGATGATTTATTTCAAAATTCATTGCATTTCGGTTTGGAATGTACCGGTCTGCTGCTGAAGTCGGGCTACCAGGAGTTTTAAGAGTGTTATTCATAGCTGATGGAGTCACTTTGGGGGTTTTAAAGTTTGACTTTTTTCCCGGCGTTTTACATGGAGTTTTAGCGGTTGAAGCTACTGGAGCTGATAGTGATTTATTACAAATCGAGTCAGTAAGATTTAAATTGACAAACGAGTCAAGAAGCGATACATTTGTGTATTTGGACATTTTTAAGGTATTTTAAAATTTTAGATGTTTCGATTTTTAAAGTGTGTTTAACAAAAGGAGTAGTTTTAAACTAAAACAAACCGAAAAGACGTTTGAATAAGGAAACTGCGTGAAAACCTAGCGGATAAATTCAAAAATTTGAGAGGCGCACAGTTCAACCTACCCTAATATCCGCCTTTTTCTGGACGTTTCCAAGCAAGTTGCTTAGAGACAAGATAACAAGAAATTTAAATGAACAAAACAAACGAATGTTGAGATGGAATTCAATAAAATGATTTTCGAGCAGGAACAGGAATTGAATGAAACTTGAATGATGAATCGGATTATAAATTAGTTGCAGATTCTCTTTGACTTGTACTAACACCATTTTCACATCCATTTGGTGCTAATGATACATGTACTGATCCACTTGGAACGATTTTCCGCGCCATTGGTCGGTTGTCAAGAACCTTTTCCACTTCTTCCAGAATCGCTGGAGTCAGCTTGCTTATTAACTGAAGAAAGATAAAAGAGATTTCTCATTAATTAATCATATTTTAATCTCAAAGGTTGTTGAGAGCATTCAAAATCCATATTAAAGTTAATCAACTTGGATTCATTCATCAAAAGAAATACATTTAAAGAAGAAAAAAACTGTTTCGGCAATTATTTTGTGGCAATTAACTAGTATTTTGAGGTGCCAAAGTGTAAAACTAACATAAGTGCAACTCAGGATGAAATGGAATTCATTGAAACAATTTATTCTCTCCTAGAAATATCTTTTCTCCTAATTTGTCATTATAAAGATCATCATTTTTGAATAATTACCTTAATTGTGTTGAGTTGAGAGTATAGTTGATCAAGTGATCTGGGAGCAATCAGAATACAATTGACATTTTCATTTCGCAGAGACCAAGCTGATGAAATAGATATAAAAATTATAATAATTTATTTATCAATAGAATGGCGCAGTGATTATGAATAAGAAAGTCCAGCTTAAAAATATCATTCTTGAAAATATTCTAGCACCCTGAAAAGAGTATAAGACTGAAATATGGGAACGTTGAAAATGAATAAAATCATAGAGTTTTATTCAATCATCAGTTTTATGCAATCTGCTAAAATCTTCTCATCTCTAAGGATAAAAATAATCCATCTATTGACTCTATCTATGGAATAGTCTATAATAATCTGATCAATTGAAGACATCTGAAGCTGGACCTTTTGAATTCAAAATCACTGTATTAAGGTGAAGCTAACCTGTGGTGAATTGTGTCATGTCACACGAAAGTTTACTTATAATTCCATTGAGTTCAGCCAATTTACCCTGGGCAATATTGGTCTTCACATCTGTTTTGAGTGACCTTTTAGATATGAAAGCGATTCCTTCATCATTATTCAATGAAAATGGAGACCAAACTATGGATCCTACACCAACTTTGTGATATAACTCTGGCATGTAAAGTTCCATCTTTTCACGAGTAAACATATGATACTCCATTTGTTCACAAGTTGGAGGAGGACAATTAAACTGACGTGCTACTGAAAAAGCTTCCATAATGTGAACTGGTGACCAGCGAGAAGTTCCCCAATAGAAAGTAAGACCTCGATCAATTAGGTTACCCATAGTTCTAACAATCTCCTCCATTGGACACATTCCATCCAATTTATTAATTATGACTATGTCAACATAACGCAACTGTAAACGACGGAGTGAAGCCTCTAATGCTTCAGTTAACATTTTTCTCGATAATCCACAGCCTCCAGCAGTTGCAGATGGTCCATTATTCCAAAATAATTTAGTTGAAACCATGTATGTATTACGCTTCCAACCACGTTTCCTTAAAATGTTCCCAAGCATCACCTCACTACGACCATTAACAAATGCATCACCAGTATCAAAATAATTGCATCCATTTTCATATGCTACAGAAACCAATTCCTCAGCTGCTTGATCACTAAGGCGAGTTCCGAATGCACTCCAGAGGCCAAAGCCAACAGTTGGAATTTGAAGACCACTTTTCCCTAAATTTCTGTTTTTTAAAGAGATTAAGATATGACAATTAGTGGTAAGACCATTTCAAAATTGTATTGAGGAAAATCGGGTTAATCAAAACATAAAAAAACGAAACTCACTTATATTTCATGGAACCAACTGCTGGAGGAGCGAAATTAGCGAATATTTCATATCTAGGTGTAGATGGAGTAGCGCTATAAGCGGGTGAATTTGTATCGCCCATAAAGGGATATTCATTTGCATTTATCTCATTTCGATATCCATGGTGCTGCATATGAGCATGTTGTTGAGTATGATGAGATGTCTGTTGCTGGGTCTGCGGTTGTTGTGAATGAGATTGTGTTTGAATAATTGGCTGTTGTTGATGATGTTCATAAAGACCATTGTTCACAGCACTATTAGCCACATAACCAGATCCTTGAGGTCCACTAATACTTGTGTTAGCAGCTCCAATGCTACCACTTTCACTAGAACCGGCACCAGTTTCTCGGTTCATTGCTCGAAACTGCCAATGTAAGATTAAAGTATAAATTAATTTACGTATAAAAATAATTTAATATTGGAATACTTCTTATAAGCAAAAAATGTAAAAACAACTCACTTGAAATGGAATAGATGAAAGGTATTGTTGCTTTAATATTAGTCACAAAAAAGAGAAAAAATCGAGGTTACACAGAGATAATAGACAATAATTTTTGCACAATTACAATTGAAATAAAATTATTTACTTGGCTCAGACAACTCGATTGAAAATTAATGACTATTAAAACTCCATGGAAATCAATAAATTAAATGCTGAAAAATGACTTGAAAGAGGCAGTTTATTTCTGTAATAACACTTGGATACTCACTCGCTTTTGTTTAACTCGAGCCTAGCTGTCTCTTTCGATATCTCTTTCTATTTTTCTCCTCTCTTTCCTCTCTTTGATCAGATGAATACAAAATTACCTGGCTTTGAAAATTGTTAGATCGCAGTCGCATGGATTGACTAAAATAAAATACTCTGATATTGAACAAAAAATGAGTAAAATAAAGTTCAATATTAGGATGAAATTTCTCAGTAAATTTATCAAAAACCGATAAACTATTGCAATATTAAACCAGCTTAAATCTTGAGGTTTATTGTACAAATGAACTAACCATTGAACGTGAGTTAACTGTTGATTACTTCAGAGTAATTGCCTTAAAATAAAACATGTGATAATTGCTTATTGCTTCAAGTTTCCCATCAACAATTCCAATTGATTTACCTTTATCAGAAGTGCATATTTTGTCTTGAATGGCAATTTTTAGATGATTATTAGGCCGATAAATAAATGCAATAAAAATTGATTATTATGGTGGTTATAAAGAAATAATCAAACAGATTATTATCTAGGAAAAGAGTCAAGAGCTATCTGACTGAGTTTCATTGACTCAAGTTAGTAGTCAATCATTATCGACTCATAAGCATATATGTAAATCAGATGATAGCATGTTTCACATGAATGTAAATGTAATCCATAATTATCATCATTACTTCAATAATAACTATCAAATTGAGACAATATAATCGCGAAAAGAAAATTTGCTTAAACGTTTGAATAGCTAATTTAACCGAAGGCTATTTAAAATGGTCAAACTTGACTGCTATAAATTGAAATTTGTCTGATGAAATGAAAAATGAAGTATGACATTAAAAGTGTACACAAAATTAAATTCAAATTAAAGAGTCCGTTAATTCAATAATCATCTTTATACTCTACAGTATTAACAGGCCAAAAATATGAATGAATCGTGCATCAACCCCACGTAACAAGTAATCAACATTGTCTTTAACCATTTCAGTCGATCAACAAAATTAAGATCATTGACCTGATCTCTCACTTAACCTCATCTCTCATGGTTATGGATCAGCTTTTCAATTCCTGGTGAGATGGAAAGAGACAAAGAAAGTTCACCTTTCCATATCTATCTCGTCTTTCTAGTCCACCCTCACTGTATCACCACCTTGATTCACATATTAATATAATTGACTGTTAATCGTTTCCAATTGTCATTTTGCTTTTCCATGTCATTTGAAAGTCATTAATTATCAAATCAATCCTGAATGAATCGAGGCAACTAGACAACAGCTCAATGGTATTCCTTTTGCTTTCTACTTGAATCCAATACCAGTATAAATTGAAAAAAGATGCATTTGCCTCAAGTTTTAATTATAGCGTCAAATTTCAATCATGGCTTTTGATCACTTTTCAATATTTCCGGCCGATTTACTTTTCCCATGAGATAATGAATTCGTCAATCATTTGAATTTTATCTTTCTTGGTCCTTGGCTTTCTTTGATTCCTTGATTTTCCTTAAATTTCCTTCAGGCAGTTGAACAGTTAATGAATACATTAAATCCATTTTTAAGATGAAATATTTTAGTTGGCTTTGATTGATAGGAAAGTTGATCAAGATCAACAGTTTCCATGGTTTTGCACTTTACAAATTCAACAGGAAAAGTTGTACCTTTTAAAATGATTAAAGATCAATCAGGTTGATGTTGAACATTTTCCTCGCAACCTTTTTTTGGAAACCTTTACTATTGTTTACATTGAATAAAGGATTGGATGTGAAAAAATATCAATACCAATAATAACCGCAAACCACATTAATGTAAGCAATATAATAGGTTAATCAGTAAAACAGCTCCTGTTGGTTGATGGACATCATTGATGATCATTGTAATTGAAATTTTGCTCATTCACTGACATATGCAAAGATGATTGTTGAAGCCCAATTCATCAATTTGGGTCATCTTTTTTTGGGTCAACCTATTTAAATGCATGACATTTAACGATGGTCATTTAAACACGTGGTTTATCACATTAGTTAATCTGATTGATCCAAAATCATTTGACTTCACCAGCATCACAAGAAGGTTCAGGAATTAAAGAGGAACAATAAACCAAACGGTGAAATGTTGCTTCCAAGGTGAAGGGCTTTCAAATGCAACTTGTGGTTACGCCTTGATGTAAATGCAGCACTTTTACAACCGACAAAAAAAGTCGCAGTCAATCGCAATAATCGTTATTCCCACCAAATAGTTTTATAATGTTTGACAGATTTAACTGTCTTTTGATTGAAGATCACAATTCAGCTTTGGGCTGAAAATAACAACTTAATTACTACTAATCTGAAAATGTGATTGAGGCTGCATTTAATGCCTTGTCATGTTTATTATTGAACATAAGAGTCAGTATAAAGAAGGGACGATAGGAAAGAGTAAAAGACACAGAAAGGTGATGGTGGGTTACTGATTAGTTGATTTAATTCTTCTTTTTCTGGTTGAAAAAAAAAGATGAAGATAAAAATATGAAAGATTGGGGTGGAAGAAGGGAGAGAAAGAAACATGTTTGTTTGTTTTTTTGAATCCAATACATCATTAAAGGTGTTGACAGTTCGTACTTGATAATGGCAATCAAAAGTTATCATAACAAACTTGACTGTGAATTGTTTAAATTGTTTCGTTAACAAAGTCCGAGCGAGGTTGACTTGCTTTCCTTCACATCTTCATTGAGCAGCACAAGTTAATAATTTTTAGATAAATAAATAAATATATGTAAGTTTTAATGCTTGTTTCAGCTGCTTCTTGAGATTCTCATGATACTTTCAGAGTAAGGTTGTAAAATTGACAGCCCCAAGTAAATGCATTAGGCATTCTTAATATTAAGCACTTTGATTGTTAACCAGCTTTCTTCATTGACATTGTTCTCAGTCGCTTATTGAATAAGTATCTCAAGACAAATTTGATCAAGGTAGTGATGAATGGTAACGATGATGGTAGGTACGATGAAAGAAATGCATAACATAACGAACAGGAGAATCACAATGATTTCCAATATTATAGCAGACAGAAAAGGGCTAGTATATTGAATTGATTTGCTTCAAACAATTTGTTCTTTTTAACAGCAAACTGTTGGAAACCAATAACTCGGTAATGGTTGATTAGGTGTGTCCATTGATGGTGAATCCCAAAAAATAAAATAAGGAAGAAAATAATCATCATTATTGCTCATTGAAGTATTAATTGTGTTTGGCCTTTATGGTCAATTGGAGAATGTGGTTCCTTTTAAATTTCGTTGATATTCTTTGAGTGTTTCCTTCATCGCTTTTGTTTTCCATCTTTGGATGATTAACCTCTTTGTGCACATTGAATGACAAACAGTTTAACTAAAGAATCGCGAGTTTCAAACTAATAACAATGGAAAAAGAAAGAAAATTAAGAAAAATGATAAATCAAGTGTTGAAATGGTAAGCAAACGAAAAGCAGATGAATGAATAAACTAGGAAGTGAGAGTGAGAAGAGAGAAAGACAAAGAATTCGTTTAGGATTTTATCAGCCACAGAAATGATGGATTTTATAACCAATTTACAAAACAGAAATAAAGAGATAAAGGAAGGGCAAGAAGGAACAAAAGAAAAGGTAAAATATAAGGTTAGGAATAGAAATCGAGACAACTAGAGAGAAATGGATGAAGATAAAAAATTATGATTTAGAAATGCATTCGATTCAAGAGAAAAGTTATAAAGAAGGCGAGAAAAGGAAAGCGAAAGAGGGAAAGAGGAAATGCCAAGATATTTATCTTATAAATCACAATCAAATGTTTAGTTATTACAATTTATTTAACTATCCGTTTGCTCATTAGCTCTTCTTCGGCCAACTGTCCTCGGAATCCAGCCACTTTATCTTTAAAGCGTGATAAGACATCAATATGTTCATCTAATGAATCCTCCAGTTGGGCAACATAAGAATCAACGTCATAATCAACTTCAGCCGTCATTTTTAGCAATTGTGAATGAGTGGAGGTCCATTGAGGTAAAGTCTACGAAATTAGAAAGAGACAAATTTGCAAAGAGATACATAAGATACATAAAATTATTAAGTGAAATTTTCAGATACTACATGAGATAAAAACTTACGTCAACAAATGTTTTATGAATATCGAGTATTTCATCTTCCATTTCTTGAAGATGTGATAAAGTTTCATGAAAATTATATAAATCATCGGGTAAATCGTCTGCATTGGAATTGTGTAACAATGCTAAATCATCACCATTTCTAGTTAACATATCATCATCATATTCAGCGTTTTTAGGTTCCGGATTCTCAGCTCCAAGCTCTTTGACTCGATCAGCATAACGCAATGTATTCAAGGAATGCTCACAAGATTGCATACCAGGAGAAATCATAGCAATCTTTAAATACAGAAAAGAGAGTTATGAATAATCAATTTCATAACAAAAACAAAGGAAATATGAAAAAGTGAATGAAGTTGGAGGAGAAAAGATCGATAAAGATTGAGGTATGAAATAGAAACATATAATTAAGAATAACAGATGATATAAAAAATGTAATGACGGAATAGTCTGGTTCGTAAAGTATAATGAACTTGAGAAAAAAATTTCGTGACTCACCATACAGGTTCTTGAATTTTCACCAATAAAAGAGTCTCTAAGAACTTGCGTTAATTTACTGGCTCTGAAGGGTAAATGAGCTCCTTTTCTACCCAGTGCTCGAATACACTCTTTCAATGCTAATAGTGATTTATTGATTTCTGCACCTTCCATTCGAGTTTGGCGGTTTGCTGAAGATGTATCAGCACCTCTTTCGTTACCAGCTAAATCGATTAGAGAAAATTTTCCCCTGAGTCTATTATTTCTTTTTTTCAAAATAATCTGGAAAACAGCGTGAGATCTAGAAGAATGATTATTAGCTGATGTGACACCGGATGTACGAATATTGTTGCCCATTTGAATCAATTTCAAGACATCATCTACTGTCTCAACTGCTCTCTCCTGGAGACCTACAACTTGAATCTGGTTTTTAGCGTCCTCTAAAACTCTAAGCTTTGCTTTACCATTAAGGAGATCAAAAACCTGCAATTGTCAAACAAACAAAAAAGAGATGAAGGTAAAAAAATTGTTTTGTAAACACACTCTTATAATATAAGTAGCTCTGAAGGGCTTTGTTTAGCTGGTCTTCAAAAAATTTAAACTTTATAATGAAACGGAATCTTACCTTTCCACTGTAAATTTCAAAGAAACTAGCAAAAACTACAAAATCTTCATTCCTATATTTCGGTGACTTTACAAGCTTGAATACATCTCGCGCAGCAAGGTAGTATATACCTCTAGATGAATCTTGAGATTTACCATGGAAATCACCACCCATAGTATGTGTTTTACCACTTCCAGTTTGACCATATGCAAAACATGTTGCCATTCCACCTTCAAAAATAGTCTGTACAAGGGGTTTGGCGGTATATCTATAAATCAATTCATTGTCTGCTGTTTCATCAAATGCATAATCAAATCGGAACATATGATTTTCCAGGTATCTTGTTAAGTCAACTTTGTGTTTAGGCTCATGAACAACAATTAAATCTTTTGAGGGCACTGTAATCACATCAATATCTTTTTTGGAAATTTCTTTTTTGTTCATCGGTCTTTTACGAACAGCCACACAAATTTGATGAATTTCGACAGGATCACCCATATTGAGTGGCTTAAATTCAATTTGAGATCGATATTCACGAATCATGCCCAAAAATTCCCAATTTGGATTTCCTTGGTCTACAGCTGACATTAATTCCATTTTTTCTGCTTTCTGTTCAGCCTGCCGACAACGTCTTTCTTCTCTCTGTTTTTTAATACGATCAACTTCTTTAACGACATTTGATCGACGACGTGAAGCTGCTGGAATGACAGCCGACTTTTGTCCCACTGTTTGATTCATATGCTGAGATTGATTGATGCCACAAGGTGCTGATGACAAGACTGTTGGTAATGCCTCCGGTATGCTCATGCCATTTCCATTACTAATAGTTTGACGAGATGTCTGTCTAACTCTTAAGGATCCTTTGGTTGAGTTAAGAGCAGCCACTGATGGCCTGGGAGGTAATACCTAAGACGATGGAAACAGAAAAATGAATAAATCGATAAAATAAATTAGTGATCAATGACAGATAGAGCATTAAAACAAGAGCATGGAGGGAGAACATAAAAAACTGAAATTAGGATGGGAGATAAAAAAAGAAGGGCAAGCAGAGAAGGAGGGAGAAAATAATGAATTGAGAAAAGAAAGATAAAACTAAGAAATAATAAATAAAAGACCCAAAAGAACGGCATAAATAAAGTAAATGTAAGATGCATTAAAAAAAGTAAATAGGAGATGGTTTGTATGCAATCAATGTAGGAATAATTCATAACCCTTCATACCTCTTCGCTATTATACTGATCATCGGAATGCAAATTGTTTAGAGAGAAGAGAAGAAAATATTTTAAAATACAATTGAAATGATTAGTGAAGAAAAAGAGCCAACACACCCAAAGGTGAGATTTTAAGTCAAGTATAAGAGAAAGAAATTAAAGAGAGAGAGAGAAAGAGAGATGAAAAAGATGAGAGAGAGAAAGAGAAGAGAAACAAAGAGATACAATGAAAAATAAGTAGCAACGGGTTTGATCTTTTTCCCCTTTGATGTTGATGAAGTCAAATCAGTGGAATCATCGCCCTCGCCAAAATAATAAAATACTTCTTGACATAAGATATGGGTGATGGCCCTACGTTAAATTGCACGTAAAGTGAAACAAGACCACAGTTGGTCGGATATACATACCCTTCTTGGAGCAACCGTTTTACTTGGATTGGGGACATCCTCACTTAGATTTGGATTAAGAAGGTAAACAGATTCAAAATCAATCTAAAGTTGGAAAAGAAAAGAGCATGTTAATTGATAGTCAAAGCAAATATATTAGAATCTTGGATTGAATCAACGAACCTCTTTTCCCTTAATTTCTTCCGATTCCGACCATTCAACAGTTACACTTCTATTGGCATAATCAATGCTACTTATAACAGCAGAATGGATGCGACCATTGGTACGTTGGATGTCAACATCCATTCCAACTTGAAGCTTGGCCATGGTACTAATATTGGATGAATAATTAAAACAACATTAACAATTAAAAATCTGAAACAAAAACAAAAAACGGCAAAGTTATTAGGTTTATTAGGTTGATGGATTGGTAAACTGGTAGTTAAGGTAAGACTAAAAATCACGCAAAATTTGATTCTTTAATTTTGCTGCCATCTATTGCAATTAAATTGAACAAAACGGTATATTCTATTTATCACACTATTTCCAATAAATGAAAAAACCTGTTTAATGAGAAAGATTATCAAAATTGATATTAAATAACTTTTTTTTACCAGACTGAGAGTTCTGTTAGCTTTTGAGTTATCATTGAATATTTCCAAAATTTTTGTAAAAACTCAGTTATCTCACAAATTCATATTAAAAACCAAATTACCAACAATTGACATTTCAAAATTGTGAATCTTTTTCCCTGTCCAATTGCACAAAATATGTTCAATTGATTATCATCCAACCTAATCTTAAATGTTACATCAATTGATTAATGTTTAATTACCTTTACAACATTAGTAACATATAAAAATAACAAAATATAAACCAGACCAATAAACAACTCCAACAAGATTATAATGTTGCATTCACATTGGCAAGTGTACATAAAATTATGAGCATTACTTTTGTAAATAACTCAACAGCTACGAGACCAATTCAAACACAAATTGTAAATAATTTAACCTAAATTATTTCAAACCAAGAGCAAGAAAAATTAAACTAAAAGAGTAATCAAGAGTAAACAATTAAAAAACAAAGTCAATCATAAAGTAACCCAACATTATTCAAACAGCAACAAATGACAAGTTAAAGTTTCTCCAGCAATCAATAGATGGCATTTAATGTCTCAAACCTAAACCTGAAAATATCAAAAGGTCGTTGATATCAGGTATTATTATTATCATTATTATTATTATTATATTTTTGCTGACGATTCTGTTTCTCATATTTATCCTGTTATTACAAACAAGTTTTTGTTCTGTTGTTATCATCATAAATGTCACATTGCACAGAATCAACACTAATTATAGTCAAAATTGTATCTAAAATATCATCCCAAACGATCAGTGCAGAAGAAGAGGAAAAACAGTGTTTACGATAACAATTGAAAGATGCGATAAAAGAGCAATTCTCGGTTTATTGCCATTCATTGTTAACAATTAAACTCATTTAATGGTTGAAGGAGAGCAGCAAAAAATATGAAAGGTTACATTGAATTTAAAAAGTGCAATGAAAAGTGTTTACAAAGCCAGTGAAAAAAGGATCAACATTTCAAATGACTTTTGACTTTTGTTACCAACCCAACACACATAATCCATGAGTCGAGTAAATTATGATAATTGAAGGGAAAGAAACAAAAAGAAAGGTTTTAATTTGATTAAATGTAATTTAATCATTCAACTGAATGCCATAAATTTGAAAATAAAACTTGAAAATGATTAAAAATGAAATTCTGTGAAAAAAATATTGAATTACTAATGATAATAACACAGACAGACAGCGATTACACTAATGATAACTTGATAATTTTGATAATAATAATAGCGATAAAATGATATTAATAAAAATTCCCTGTAAAACAGGATTATGTTTGTCAGTTGTAATATAAGGAACAAGAGGAATCTTGAAGTTGATTTTTAACCATTAAAAGTTGAACTCGAATTACTTATCATGTTAATAGACAATAATCTTAATGATCAGCAATAACAATTGAGGAGCATTTTTAATCTTCATTTTTATCATTTGTTTCAGCAAAGATAAAGAGAAATGAAAATGTTGAAAATAATGAGAATTGAATATTGAAGAGGAAAACCCAATTTTGTGTTTTCTGGTTCAACCAATTGAAGTTGGCAAGAAAAAAGTGATTGAGCAAATTTTCAAGAATCCTCAATCAAATGTTGAATAGATAAGCTGAAAACCAGTTTACCATGAAAGATGATAACTCTCTATGTTAGTAGATTTAAAGGCAATTTTCAATTTTCATCATTTACTTCATCTTGCTGTTGTTACAATAAAAAATATCAATCAAAATGGATGAGAGGAAAACTGGTCAATACTTATTTTTTTTGCTTGAAACGTGAAATAATTTATTCCCAGTGAACCATGTAAAGCTCAATGTTATTGTTGTGAGCAACAACAGAATCTTGAATTTCTCTTTTCTTTCAAAGCAACTTCAAAACTTGTTATCATCAGCATATTCAGGGTAAACCTCATGAGATTTACCAAAAGTGTATTCACACATTGAATAATCATGCAAAAAGAAAACCAGTTTTTTCCATTCTTCCTTTTTTTCAACCTTCCATCTTATTTCAATCTTTTTCACCGTGTTTATTACATTTGTAAAGGTAAAATGTAATAACAAAAATATCAATATTTTAATAGTTTAATGTTTTTATCATTTTTGTTGAGCTTGCACTTTGTTTGGGTCAACATTTGCTTGCATTTTACATTTTTTCTGGTTCAATATCTTTGGTTAATTTTTCTGGTTTCAAATGTTTGTTTTCTGGTAAAATGGTTAATCAATGTTGGGAATTGACTTTTTGAAAATGCTTTTCTTAAATTACAATTTAAATGCATCGACTTTTGATATTCATGTTTCAAGTTTAACAGAAAATTTCATTTCTTCATTTTTCCTTTGAAATGTTTGATTATTCAAAAAAAGATTCAGTTGCTTTTCCTATTCTTTCAATGTTATTAAAGATGGTTTTGATTCCGTTTTTTGATGTAATAAGTAACAATCCGATCATGAATTTACCAGTTTTTAGATTGACTTTCCAGCTTGAAAGGTTGATATCTTTAGGCCAGGCTTAGAAGTAGATTTAAAGATGATGAATATAAAGATGATATTTTTCACGATAATGTTGAGTAAAAGGAAAAATCAATTTTTCAAGATTCTCAAGTTGCCTTGAGCAATTATCTTTTATGAAAAGGTTATACAATGGGTTGATAGGTAAAAGGTAAAGATGAACATGAGATTTTAACGTCTTCTTACACCAATCGAGATAGAGTAGGTTTAGGTCTCGAAAAGGGTAAAAGTGATTTTTTCTGGTTTTGGTAATCATCTTTTTCTCATTAATATGTTATTAATATTTACCAGTTTGCTGTCAGTAAGCAGTGTTTGGTGATTGACTTTAAGCCTAATGACAATCTTGAAATTGTATTTCTGGTTAAATGATTTTACCAAATGTCTTGAAATGAAACTCTTTTAATCTATTTTAAGAAAGTGAAACCAGAAAATTGACTGAGAAAAGTTAACTTGTGTTTCAATTTGATGAACGGTTTACACCTTTCAGATACATTCATCATTACCAACTTGAGTTACAGGATGAACTTGAGGAAAGCTAATGAAAGCATTTTTGAAAGCAACAAAAGGCTAAGTTATTATCAACAAAATTTCATAAAAGATATAATAACACTTAACCTTGTATTTTGTTCATCTTTTGTCTTCTTCATCTTCTCGTATCTTCATCATTATTATTGATTATCCTGATGAAACAGCTTTACACCCAAAGACTAACCTTGAAAGTGACTTTGTTTTCCTTCCCTTTTATGTAAGTTACTGGGAATGAAAAGATAATAACTGAAAGTTGAAGATGAACTTCACAGTCTTTCATCATTTACCTTTAAGCTTGAAGCAATCATTAACCTTTTCGCATCAACCTTTCGAGGAGTTTCATTTCAAAAGTTCTGTCTTTTACTTTTCTTTTTGCCTTATTATTTCTTATGAAAATATAATCCCAATCATTCTGTTCATGTTTACCATTTTCGCCTTGTATTCATCTTCTCAACACTTTCATTGATATTGTTTTATTCAAGTATTTATATCAGCAGGGAAAAGAAGGAAAACTTTTCGGAATAACTGAGTTGGATAAATGTGCTAAAACAGACTTGAATGTTTAAACAGATTCCCTGGTTTGGTGGAAATTTTGTCAATCTTTTAGTAAAAGTTAAGTTATTCATAAGAATGCTTTTCATCTCTCCATGTTGTTCAGGTAATCTGTCCAAGAAATGATCAACTCTAAGCTCAGCATATTTTTACATAAACTGGTTTTATTCAAAGAAAAGGGAAAACTGAAAGAATCAAGTGAACCAAAAGAGATTGAAATGAGTAAATCGCTAGATTTGTGTTATCAATAATGAAATCTATTGAATTATGACAATTTGATAAAAGCCATTTTTCAATTTTGATGGCAAAGTCAAAAGGTAAATATGATTTACGTTTAAATCAAAGTTCGTTAAACTGCCTTTCCTTTTTAGTTTTAAATATGGTTGGAATATTTAAGTCACAATTTGTGTATTACTGGGAAACTAGCGTCAGAAGTCGTTTGTTTCAAACAAGAAATAAAATTCAATCGATGATAAGCATTTAGATATTGTAATAGCAAAACAAATAAAACTGATTGACTTCAATGAAAAAGTCAACACAGAATTTATTTGATCGCACATTTGGAAATAAATCTTGCGATCTTTTAGCGATCCCTTGATTTAAAGATTAACGAATGGTAGGATAATCGTCTAGAATGTCAGACGTATTCATGGATGTTCGTCATTTATTTTGTTGTTTGAATAGTCTTGATGATTATTAATGATGGGATCAAATTATTTTAATGATTGTTATTACAAAATTTTTCATGTCATTTGCTCTATTAATACAAATGAATTAGAAATTACAGATTGTTCTTTCCACAGAAAATTCACCCTTTGCCTTCTTTAGTTGGTTCAATGAGAAATATTGTTATTCAAATTCAACTTGTTCTTTGATTAACTTGATTATGGCAGTTATTCATTCACGATAATTGTGCCCTTTCCATTACATAAGGGCCGATAGTTTTGATGAAATCTGACATTTTAGTGTATCCTTAGATTAAGGTATGGGCCCTAAAGTTTGTCAGTATAATGGTACATATGTATTTGAATTTAACAAAGTATTTAAGCTAAAATTTAGTGAAAAAATAGTCAGAGCCGCTGCACATGGTCCACTATAAATAATTATCTCCAAAAAATAACACAATTTTTCGTTTGGTCTGAATTGACTGGCTCTTTTTGGTCAACAGATTGCGTCTATCCACTGGCTATCAGCTATTGCAAACATAATTAGCTTAGTTCAAATCAAGTCATTCTAATTTTTTGATGTGATTTCATTTTTAATTACTCTTTTCACTCGAATAGTAAATTATTGCTTCATGCGCATTATCACGTTATTTTATTTCTATCCATAAATTGCTTATCCTACAAATTCAGAGATCGCACCGTCTTTTGTACTGATTATCTACATTATCCTAAGAATGTCCTCTATGATGGAGGTCACATCAAGAAATTGACAATTAGCTTGCTGAATATTGAAAGAAATAATATACTATTGATTGAATAAAGATCTAAAATCAAAAGATAATTAACTCACTTTGAATTATGCATTACGATGAAAGGCTGAAACAAAAGAGATGTAGAAAGATGTAGGCTTTCTCGAAGTCAAAAAAGCGTTATATCTTAATGTTATTGAAATTAACTGTGTATCAACGCTTATTAAAATTTCTACAGAAGAGTTTTAAGAGAGACATTTCCAAAGGTGGCAGACCAAACTTAATAGTGAAATCAAAGCTGATTGATTATTGACATTTGTGTTTTTCCCATACTCATTTTTCAACTCTTATTTTGCATTGTATTAGGTCGCTCAAGAAGTCCGTAGA